GGGGAGCGGGGGCCGTGACCCTTGGCGGGACGTGGCTCGTTAGAAGAAGGCGGCGCTGGGCCGGCGACGGTGCAGGTGGATCAGGAAGGTTCGCGTGGTGCTGCGGGTCCGGCCCGCGGGCGCCAGGCCTTGGGACGCCGTCGAACAGAAAGAAGCGGTGCAGAGCGGGGCGCGAGCGGAGCGGAGCGGGCACTTCCAGCGCTGACTTCTGAATAGGAAAGGGAAAATGGGTAAAGATATGAAAAGACAAGGTTCGCACGTCCTCCTGCACCGGGGAGGCTGAACGTGGACGAGCAAGTCGGAAGGGCGAGCCGACACCGCCGCGAGAGCTATTTGCACCACGGATTTCGTTTACCGGCGAGCAACTTGCCTTCTTCTCCCACTACACCTCGTGTGCGGGGAGACGCTTTCGAGGAAGTCGAAACGGCATCCTGCAGCCCAACACCCGGCTCTTGCCAACAAGGATAAAGATTTTTTCAAGTGTTTCAAGGATCAAAATGAAAGACAAGCGAAAATGATGAAAGACGGCATCACGGTGCCCGCTGGAGACAAGCTATGGAGCTCATTGCAAAGACAAAAAGCCACGTGCAATCGCAGTCTTTAATTTCACCAGCAGGTAAAGAGGCTGTGAGCCGCGTCGGCGGGCTCGGACGCACCCGGTGAAATCGCAGAGGTTCCCCTTGGAGACGATGCGATAAGTCGCCGCATTGATGATGTCTCAGCCAACGCTGAACCTGTTGTTCGTGAACAAATAAAATCAAGCCGAAAACGTGCTTTGTGGCTTGATGAGTCAACAGACATCAGCAGTCACGCTCAGCTCTTGGCTAATGTCGGGTCTGTCGACAGAGATGGGATAAAAGAAGGTTTTTTATTTTGCAAACAGCTACCAGGTAACACGGCTGGAGAGGAAATATTCAGGGCGACAATGGCCCATTTTCAGGAGGGAGAACTGGAAGGGAAAAGCTGCCTGAGCGTCTGCACAGACGGGGCAGCCTCTACAACAGAGAAAGTGCAAGGTCAAGCAAGGAAACCTGGACGTGCTGGTGACCCACTGGTTCCACTGGGAACTGTGGGTCAACAGAGAAAATAGAGAATTTAAAAGCACGGCCCTTGAGAAGTCGCCTGTTCTCGTTGTTACATGAGGGTTTCATAGATTTCACAGACATTAGGGCTGGAAGGGACCTCGGGAGATCATCGAGTCCAGTCCCTGCCCCAGGGGCAGGAAGTCAGCTCGGGTCAAAGGATCCCAGCAAGATAAACGTCCAAATGTCTCTTGAAGGAGTCCAGAGGAGGTGCCCGCACCACCTCCGGCGGCAGTCTGTTCTTGGGGGCTCGGACAGTACAGAAGGTCTTCCTTATGTCCAGCCTGAAACAATTGCGGAGGAGTTTGTGACCGTTGGAACTTGTCATCCCTTGGGGCGCTCTGGTGAGCAGACGTTCCCCCAGTTCCTGGTGAGCACCCCTGATGGACTTATAGGTGGTCACCAGGCCCCCCCCCCGGGTCCCCCCGAGCCTGCACTTTTCCAAGCTGAAGAGCCCCGTGACTCTCAGCCTCTCTTCATAAGGTCTCTTCTCCTGCCCTCTGATCATGCGCGTGGCTCTCCTCTGGACTCTCCCAAGCTTCTCAACATCCTTCCTGAATTGTGGAGCCCAAAACTGGACGCAGTACTCCAGCTGCGGCCTCACCAAGGTGGAGTACAAGGGGAGAATGACGTCCGGGGATTTGCTTGAGAAGCCAAGCCAGCATTTTGGTCGCTTTACTAGCCGCAGCATCACATTGCAGGCTCGTGTTCATCTTGTGGTCAATGATGACCCCCAAGTCCCTTTCGCCTGTAGTACTAGCCAGCGTAGCACTGCCGGGCTTATAAGGAAGCTGCGGGTTTTTCTTCCCAAGGTAAAAGAAATATAGTACAGGACGGCCAGGGTGAGGGAGAATTGTTATTCTTCATCAATGTAGACCATGTGAAGGAACACGTTGAGAGGCTGGACACCTTCAAGTCAGCTGGCCCTGACGGTTTACACCCCAGGGTACTTAAGGGGCTCCCCCCCGCCCCACGGTGGAGTACCTTGCATTTTTTGGTGTTGAAGGCCATCAGGTTTTCATCCGCCTATTTTCTAAGCCTGTCCAGGTTGGTCGGGATCATCATCCTGTCCTCA